ACACACACACACACACACACACACACACACACACACACACACACACATCCAGATTATTTGATTGTATGTTGTCCATCTTAATTAACTCCTCTCTGCTGTTTAGTGAATCACCCTTAAGCCCATGATGAGTATTTTTTATTTCTAAAATCTAGTCTTCTGAGGCCTTGATATGCTAATTGCATTTCACTCAGGAACCATCCAAAACCTGCTACATTGTTTACTTGTTTCTTGCATTTTTTAATCCAAGGAGGATTATACAGTATAAACACTTTATCTTTTATTATCGCTTGTCTTTTTTTCACCCGCTATTTTTTGTCTTTGTCTGTCTTTTATTTTTTCTCCCGCCTCTCCTCTCTTCTTCCTTCTCACCCTCTAGCCTCCGTTTTGATCCAATTGGTGATTTATTGATTTTGGTAAGCTGAGTTGGGAATCGATGGAGGCTGAGAGAAGAGGATCTCTGTAATGTCTTTACCCCTTGAAGAGGGCAGAGGAGACAATCAGAGTGAGTGTGAGAAAGGAAGAGTGAAACTGAGGAGAAGACGGATAAAAGATAGGAGGAAAGTAGAGACGAAGAGACTGAGATGAAGAGACTTTTTTGGCAGAGAAATTTTGAGCGAGTTTTTTTGCAAGACTCGAGAGAGAGAAAAAGGAAGTGAAAGCTATATCCTTAGGAGCTGAGAGGTATGGTGACATTGTAACATAAAATCCCAGAGGCAGTACATGGATGTCATCAGACACACATAACTCATATTCTGAGAAAGAAATCTAGCACGTGGCTTTCATTTGCATCCACACATATACTCACTCACACATGTATGCATCGTTACAAATCAGAGAAATACAACTGTGTTCTTTCAGAAGTTTTTATCCCCCTACCAACAGGCACGACCGGGTTTTACTCGTTAGTTTTACATGACATAATGAATACTGAGGAGCAGGGAGTCTGGTGGTAAACACAAGTTTGAAGGCTGCAGGGGCTACAGAACTGCTGATTATTACTATGGCAAGGATTACAAAGAGATATTTAGGCCACCGCTTCACAGGCTAGGGGAGAAGTTTTAGGAAGACATTCTTAGTTCAAACTCGAAATTTATTTTTCATGTGAAAAGCTACGTGTGTACTGTTGCAGCTTGTTTTCAGCTCCGGGAGTTATTTTAGTTTGCTCTCAACTTTTTGACAATTGGGTTTGGTTTTACTTTAGATTTGTACAGCATACTGATCAGTCGTCCAATTGCGTGACCTGATTTTATTATGACTTGCCTCCCCATTATCACAGACTAACAATGAAGGCCTGAAGCCATCTGACTCCGTGTGTGTGTCAGTTCGTGTGAGCGTGCATGGCTGTTAACTGTGTTGGTGTTTTTGACCGCGTGCCCTGAAACTCCTAAGCACTCATACGTAGAGGAACACACTTCATTTACAGTTCAGACAGAATATCTATAGCATTTATTCAAAACACCTCATCACATTCAGGGGCTAATTTTCATCCCAGCACAGAGGTAGCCGAATAATATAGTGAGTGAACAAAAGACAGTTTAGCCTTTGACTTGCCCTCAATTAGTCTCTTAGATTGTTCAGCTTGATGAGTCAGAGAGGCCAAGTGCATTAAGCTGTCCTAAAGCTCTCGAACCGTATTCCATCAGCACTTTCTATGTGACTGTTCTTTCAGTGTGCCAGTATTCTGAACATTCAATAGTATTTTATATACCGGATGAGGCTTCGTCTAGGCAGCCATCCGCTTCAAATGTCGTGGCTTCAAGGCACCAATCTGCTGTGTTATTCATTGGCATCAGTGACCACAGTTTTCACAGCCTGTACACAAAGTAATGATGAACCTACGTCTTAATCATACACTCATTGTGACAATGGGTTTTTGACAATTGTTTTTAGGTTGTTTTAAGTTGTCCTCTCTTCGTCTTATTGTGATGCATGTAGTGGACATATTATAGTGTTTGCTCTGCATGTAAAATGATTTTGGGTTCAAAGTAGCCGTCCCACATATTCCTCTTGAGTGAGTGCCACTGTAGAAACCTTGCTTGAATGCCAGAAGAAAGATTGGTTTAATCCGTCTGTGTATATATTCCTCATTCAACGTTTTTTTTTTTTTTTTTCCCACTGCGGCTTAATGTTTATTAAGCATACCCAATTGGCACATTAAACCAAATTAGAACTTATTAATATTATATTGAAGCTTGGCTGCCAAGCTTATGCAGGGATATACATACATTATGCATATACATACAAAGTCTGAACCAGTGTTTTAATTGACATTGCAGAAAATACGACGATATTTCACAAAACAAAACAAAACTTTGAAAAACACAAAAACAATTAACAACACACATAAAACTCCAGAAAACACAATGATACTTCACAAAACGCAAGAACATTTGCCCCCCAGGTTTTGCAGCAAGTTCCTCCTTTCTGTGCAGTGAGCGTAGATATCGCATAATGTTATATAGACATTAAAACTCCAGATTTAAGGTGTTAGCCACAATTAAGTTTGTTGTAGACTGACAGACACTGATGTGCTAGACAAACACACCAATCTATACTGTATTTAGAATATGCTTTGTTCTGATTTTCAGTACAAAATGCAACCTCTGGAAATGCTTTAATATATTGATTGATTTTCATCAGTGTGCAGCACAACACACTGTTGTGTGCTGTGTTTGGTCAATACATTCATGTACTCCACTCTATCCTTATCTCAGACAAAGACTTTATAAGAAAAGTAGGGATGTTAAAAGTGGTTTAGATTGAGAATCATGCTTAAGCGATCATAAAAAAAAATGTAAAAAATATTTTTTAACCATAATAGAGCTGCTTAATGCTTTTAGATTACATTAATATGAATACGATCAAGGTTTGATGCAAAGACAAGCACGCTGACATAAAAAACATTTGCTAAATAATGCTTTAATTAACTTAATAAATTGCCTTATTTCCATAAGTGGTTATGTTTAATGTATTTTGAGAACTATGATGGAACATTACACAGCTCAAATACCATTGACAAAGATTTTGGGTCAATCTTTATTCATTCCTTATTTCTGTCAACATGTTTAGTTTGTAACACTGTTTTGTATGTGCAATGTTCATGTCAATTAATACAACACTTTTATAGTAATTCCCTTATACAAGCTCTATTTTAAAAAGATGGAGCAACATTTCGCTGTGTCACATACGCTCTTGTTTTTCATATACTGAAAAGACATATTGCTTGAGAACAGTTTTCTTTAAGTTCAGTGGCATTAACGTTACCAGGTAAAAACGTTGCTTTGGATACAATTGCCCTGCTTTTTTCTGATTCTGCGGCATTAAAATTCACATGGCACTGCCTAAACCCAAGGTTACAGAGTTTGTCACGGGGCATGATGAGGACTCAAACGCAGACAGTCAGCTGTAGTGAAAAAAGGTTTTAATGATAACCAAAAACAAACAGGGAATCCAGGGACAAGACAAAAGACGAGGGGGAAAATCCGGCAGGAAAAGGCAGAACAGGCAGACTGGAAAACCGGGAACAGGACCAGCAAAACGGGCGGGTAGGTAGGAAAACAAACAATGATCTGGCAGTGGGTGTGTGTGCGGCAGGGGTTTAAATAGTGAAGGAGGCAGAGTGAGCAGGTGAGAGTAATAAGCTGATGAGGTGAGTGTGACTGGCAGGTGCACTGAATGAACTGATTAGGTGAGTGAGGAGCTACAGAAAGAAACAAAGACACAGAACACACAGGGCAACGTGATCGTGACAGAGTTACAGGATATTATACTTTAGATGTCAGAGGAAGGAAAAGGCTTGGCTCTGATCCACTGTCATCGTATCTTCAACTATGCCCTCTTTCTTAATTCTCTTCTTCTCCACTGTTTTCTTTTCTCCGCTTTCCCTCCCTCCCTCGTTTTCTTTCATTCTCTCCAATTTCTCAGTTTATCTTCTCTTTTTTCTTTTTTGGCCCTCATCCTCCTCGTTCCTCTCATCCCTCTTATCCTCTTTAACCGGGTCGGCCCCTTCCTATGCCAACCCTCGTCTCCTCTCATCTCCACCCTTCTATGCTTCAAGCGTCTGCTTTTAGAAGCAGCCTCCTGAACCCAAAGCCTATTTTACGGGGAGTAGTTTCTCACTCCTGACGCTGCGCTTAGAGAAATTAGTAAGCGACTGACACGAGACATCCGCAAATTGAATTTCTCAAGAGGGAAGGTGGACACTCACAAAAACACACATATACATAACGCCATAAAGTCGTGCTCTTCTCTTCACAGGAACAGTGGACAAATTGTAGTCAATTATGGGATGTTCCACCCTGGAGTATGCAGGTGTTTGATTCTTTTGGCAAATGTCATGTTTTCCCTCACATTTATTTCATGTGTATGAATAAATAAGAGTTTCACAGCAGCCTATTTGCCAGTCTTAAACTTTTCCATTTCAGTCTACAGGATGCTGTGATGAAAAACTTCTCTGACCTTCTGAAATAAAGCGTTATGATGCTTCTTACACTCAAGTTGGTTTATTCGGTCACTCCAGTATGTGAAATGTTTCACTTAGAAGTAAAACAAAAGAAAAAAGAGAATACTTTCCAACACTTGCAATGTGAATTAATACTCACAGTATATGTAGAAGTAATTGTGATACATACCAAACCTCCAGCTTCTACATACTACCACCTGTTTCTCTTCATCTTAAAGTGTGTGATGACTCAGACATTCATCAGCCTGTGCTGTTTTCATTTGTCAACTCCTTCTCACTCTCCTCCTCGGTGTATGACACCCATGCACGGTTAGTGTGTGAATACGATGCACCCGCCAGCAACATAGAGTGCTGAAAGAATGAGTCATAAACCTGGAAAAACTCATGCTCAGTTTTGTTTAAGATATAAAATAAGTCTGTGAATACCTTGTTGGGGCCATGTGCTTGACCATGTGCTCTGAGACAAAGGGATCTTCCTACTTTGCAGAGACATCTGCAGCCTGATCTGAGTTTCAGATAAGAGCAAGCTCCAAGGAATGTTTAGATGCGAAAGCAATAAAACATCAACACTGCGATCTAATTGGACGAGGGCCACAGACACCCCAGGACCCCCGTGGCTCAGCCCTGTTTCCACAAAACTCTCTTTCTCCCCCAAAACCTTGCCATTCCGTTCTGACTAACGTCGAAGTAAGGAAGCGCGAACACAACGTTGCTGTTTTTTTTTTAAAAAAACCTAAGTTGAAGAGTCGTTAATCAGTCAAGTTAACAGCAACCACGCTCTTTTCCTGAGCCTAAACTTCCTTGTGAAGACGGAAGTCTATTTTGAAAAGACTCGCTTGTGACGGGCAGATATTGACACGAGATCACTGACATCATGTCCAAAACTAACACGTGAGGGACACCTATAGAATCATAAAAGCCTTCTACCACTGGCCAAGCGCTTGTATGTGAGAATGTGTTAGTATGTGTTCATCGGGCACGTTTGTGAATATGCATAGTCTTGAGCGCATGAACCATATCAGGTAGGCTACATACTGTGCTCGACTTGTGTGCAGTAAGGTTTAACACGCATGCATGTTAAGTTCGTTTGAAGGTGTGCTCCAAGGTTGTGCTTTTTTTTTCTTGCTTCTTTACAGTCGGAGGAAACAGCTCAGGGAGAAATAGCAGCAGGTGGTTAATAGATAAGCACAGTTTTTCCTGTTGTGAATTTGGGAACTCTACATATTGTGTTTGGCAACAAATTTTGTCCCCCCTGAATATGTTGTGGAATTGTAGCCTCAAAATATTTGTTCAATTTTTACATCTAAGCATTTTGGCCGATTTCCATACCTCTTCTGAAAGCAGATATTCCCCCGAAATGTGTTTGGATGTGGTCACAAGTGTTCTGTAGCCTGAGAGCCAGCTGTGCCAGACAGGTGGTGATCAGGTATTAGGGAGCTGGGGCTGGTCTTCTAGTGTGTATTGTAATGGAAGCTCTTTGGGCGCGGCAGAGGGGCTGTGATAGTGCCAGCAAGACTGCAGGGGATTATTGCTGCTGTTCCAGATCCTGAGGGGTTATGAGAAATAGAGCTTTTGTTTATACAACACATTAAAGTCACACAGCATCGTTACATTCAGGCTAAAAATAATCAAATGTGGTCAGACATGCTTTGAGCTATGGGTGTGTGTGAATTGTTTGGGGCATGTACAGATGTATGGCCACATCTATGCTTTGTTTGCCAAGTGTTTGTCTCCACATCATTAATCTTGGTCTGTTTCTTCCTCTGTTTGTCAATGCAGCTGTGATGCAGGATTTTGAATGATACAATGATACATTGCTGGTCGTGGCTTTAGAGCGACAACAAGGGGGAACTTTGACCAAAGTTAAAGCATGAATACTGTCAGGATAAATGTCCTCTTAGTCTTATTTAGCCAACTAATATACAAATTAGTTTAGTGCAATGCCCAGATGAACATTTACAGTGTTGATCAAAGTGACAACTTTGATCAACAAAGTCTCCCCTAGTAATCTTCAGTTGTAATATCTTTGAAGTTCTCTGTTTAAATGGGCATTAGGTGGGCTTAATCAGGTGACACCCAACAAACAAGTAGGAAGTTTTCCTATCGTTAAATTACCCATCAGTGGTTTAGATAGAATAAAAGACAAACCACCCCCTATAGCTTTCACGCCCTACATGTTGGCTGTCACGCCCTTACAACATACATCCATTCACCCATCCGTCGTTCCATGCATTGCTCCGTTCGTTCTGCCAAACTGTCAGAAGGCTGCATTTCCTTTGCATTCATATGCTATCCAGAGCACACAAAGTGCTGCCAGCCAGCCAGCTGCAGTCTGCTCCGTTTCCCATCTTCTTTATTCCATCTTCTCTCTCCTTTCACTGCCTGTCTGTCTCTCTCCCACTCCCCTGGAAAGACAGCAGACAGGTGTGGCAGGAGAAGAGACAGATGGCAAGGATGACAGGACACACTTTTGGGCAAGGAAATGAAAATCAAAAAATGTGAAGAAAAGGATGAATCCAGCACAAACGCACACGCGGGGACACGCATTTTACTTTTCTGCTGCTTTGTTTGACAGCATAACAGCCAGCCGCATAAACAAAAAATATTTTTGGTGCACACAAACGCATATGCAGTGCATATGCCCTCTATAATAAGCCTCTTTGACGATTTGGCCTTGAGGCTAATAGGCATGCTGGAGGGTGTGACAGCTTATAACATCACGATGATGGAGATGTCATTGAGCCGCAGTGTTTTATGTGTGACCTGCGTGCTTGTGACAAAGATTGAATTCCAGGCTCTCATCTCCTATATATGACAGGGCATGCACACTGTAATAGCGCCTGTAAATGTGCACACTATAGACAGATTTTGTACATGTAGAATACTCACACGCCTAACATATATCCATGGACTTTCATTTTTTGCAAATGATTTAGGGAGCACACCCTCACACACACATTTCTGTCCTAGCCTTGTCCTTGTTTCAGTCAAGGCCCAGTGCTACCTCTGGACGGGCCATTGACTCTTGTATCTCATAAAGGTACTGTATACAGTAAAACTTATCTGTCCTATGGTCTATTGCGGCCTTAGCGCCGGCATTAAGGCTAATGGGCCTTGTGGATGAGCTCTAAAACCTGAGGACTGATGGAGGTTTGAGACTTGACAAATAACAATAACAGGACACTGACCAGGTCTGTTGTTCCGCATCAAGGATGATATCATCGTTCAGTCTGATGTCTACTTCTACAGAAGGTCGTCTATTCATGATGTGTTTTAAATCGTGGATCAAAACATTCATTTTTTGTTGTTGTTTATTGTCGTTCTCTCACCTCTTTCACTCCGGTCTGCGAATGCAAGCTGCCCTGCATCCCTTTGTTTCTGTTCCCTCTCAAATTCTGTTGTGTAGTCAGTTTATTCATCTCCAACTCTCTGGGATTTCTAATAGTAAAAAAATCCATGATAACGTTTTTTTGTGCTTTTGTTTGTTTTTGCTGGTTTTAGGGTATTTTCTCCAGACGCTGTTCCCACCCTCCCAGCGTACCTTTCAGGGCTGCATGCAAGCAATCTTGGTGGACGACCAACCAGCTGATTTGCATGCGGTGGAAAAAGGCACTATGGGAGCTTTTGAGAATGTCAGCCTAGACATGTGTGCAATCATAGACAGGTAAGAAGGATAATTCCTGCATGCACACACATCCATACAATCATTCATGAATGAAATGTTCAGCCAAATGCAAGGCACTAATAAGTGTCATAAATCAAATGCTTTTGAATTGGGAGAGTCATAAAAACAGTCTCTGAATTATTATCTAGAGATGTATGACTCAGAGATCTGGGTGTTGTGAGTGTAACTGTACAAGACTATGTTTTTGTGGCTGTGTTTTGTGTGCTTGTTATACTGATAAATGGATATAATTGATGCCGTGGATTCCCAGGGGAAGGGGATGTGTGTAAACAGTAAAAAAAAAAAAAAAAAAAGAGTAGGTTTCATCCTTGGAAAACACTGTATGATCTTAATCAAACATCAAACATGAGCCACTCATTTCTCAAGTATAACAGAGCTGGATATTCTGCACAGCACGTCCCAATGTTGGCTCACTGGAAGCATTCATTACAACTTGTTGACATTCCAATTTATTTCCTTGTCATAGACAAGACAAATACACTGAGATGCATATGGAATCGTCCATCCCTTGCGCTCAATTCGAGTGCTTCTTTCCACCGAATCTGATGCCAGTGTGCAAAACATTCAAACTTTGTGGACTGGTTTAATCTTCAGGGATTATGCCTTGTCCTATGGTAAGCAAAAGTTCAGTGGTTTTCAGTCATGCAATGGCCAAAAAGATTTCAGTGCTTATTAGACACACGGAGCATGGATTGCAAGGTAGACGTGAGTAGGAAGCTGCAATAACTAGTTGACCTTGCGCTGATTGGAACAGCATATCCCCTATCCCGAGTGATTTGTTTTCAGGTTAGGTTTGTCAATAACACTTACCCTCATCAATATCCTCAGCCAGAGAAGTAGACACCAGCCACCCACTGCTTGATTTAGATCCATTTTGTCGCTGAGGTACTTAAATTTGGACCAAAGCTTGGGCCAGATCATTTTCTCAAAGTTCTCAGTCCATACTGAAATGGCAGAACAATTAAAAGTTTGATACCTTATTATTCATTTTTTGTGTGGTTGAATTCACAATAGAAATGTTCACATTGACTGCTTTGGTTGTCAGGTGACTTTGTCATCATAAAAAAGTGATACTCTCCCAGTCCATACTACATTGTGAATCATTATTTCAAAAATCTGTGTTTTCACGGGTGAAAAAATGTAAAAGATCTAGTTTAAGTAATATTTTGGGCATGCTTACATTTTGACAAAGCCCTCTTTCCTGGATACGTTTTCATGCCGATGCCATTTGTTTTGCCTTGCAATGTGAAGTAGAATGAAAATAGTATTATACCAGATTATGGTGCATTAGCGCTGCTGATAGCTACCAGCAGCAGGCTGACTCAGATTTTTCTGACTAACTCTTTTGAAAGTCCAAAGATGTCCACAACAGTTTTCCTTCCCTTGTCTTTCCCCATCTCAATATCTTCAAACGTTGAGTATCAGCCCTGCATTATTTGAGGCAGGCCCTGTCCTGCCATGGAAGATGAATGGGTCCAGTGTTTCCATCTAACTAATCAGAATGTCTTTGAAGGCAGTTCAATAGCCCTGTCTGACCTCCTTTTGATCAATGCCGTTCCACTGTGGGATTCTGTTTTAGGCTGAGATGGTGGAAGAAAACACACATATCTCCACAGACACACAGTCATGCTGACACACACAGGGGCAAGGCATGCAAATCCCCATATTTCACAATGTCCCTGTCATTCTGTAAGGATACTGCAACACACACATGAAAGTATAATCATACTGAGGCGCTCCATTCTCTTCAAAGATCTTACATTTTCATACAAAGCCCACCGCATATGTAGTCAGTGTACTCCGGTGCTCACAGCTTGCGGAGCATAATGTCTTTTGTGACTGTCGGTGCTTGTCAATCGCAGCCCCTTATATTATAATTTTCTATTTAATTTACAGTGCATGCAATAGCATGTTGATACAGTCATGGTTTAATAGGATTTGAATACCCATGGGTGTATATAAACTGTACTTTTTGTCATTAGATCTTTTTCTTTTGTTCATGAAAGACAGCGTCACTGTTGAAATAGCAGGCAAGTACATGTGTAGTAGTGTTAGCTAAAGTGTCTTTTTCTGCACCAGTCAACACAGTCGGAGCTAGAGGTGGATAATTATTTTGCAAATGTAATATTTCTGCAGCAGCTATGTCTCTCTCTCATTCTACACATAGTTACAATACTGACAATACAGTCCATTCACAATAACACACCAGCACTCATGTTTTCAGAATGTAAGAATGTACATCTGTAGTTTATTGTCACTTCAGGATTGACAGTTTACAAAACAGAGCTCATCCACATATGAAAAAAAAGTGTAAGTGCATAAGAGTAATAACAGCGATCGTCTTGTCTCTGGCTCTGTGCTGCTTAGCTGCCCGACTTCCTACAGAAGGAAGAACTCAGCATGTTAAAGGACCCCTGCAGCTCTTATGAGTCAATATTTATTTTTTTTCAGCTGGCTTTCCTCATCATATTAGTTTTCACTGAAGCTTGCACTTTAATGACAAAATGTGTGCACAAGTACATAGTGTGCGAGTTTGTGCGTGGGAAAACCCAGCTCTGAGACTACAGTGCCTCAGGATCCATCCCCACCAGCCCTGAAGGCAGATCAAACCGCAGAACTTTGATGTATTCAAGATCTGAGTTGGTATTGAAATTTCAACAAGAAAAACAGTGGCGTCTGAGCTGCTATGTGCTCAATGCTGTATTCACACGGCGAAGGATAACGCTGTTTACATACACTACACTCTTTATTCCAGGTCCTTTTTGAAATGTAGATTATGACTGTAAAAGAAACACACATGTACAACAGTCGTATACATGGAGAGTCAGCACGATAAACCCCAATTCTGTCACCTCCTGCTTTCCATGATCACAAAGAATTTCTTTCAGTGTAGGCAGACATGCACTTAAGTTGTTCTCATTGACAGTTCTGTGCGTCTGACGTGACAGCCCTCTCACTGTCCTGGAGTCTGTCCTGGCCAACCTCAGCAGGCAGATGGTTGACATGGGAGTGTCATTAGCTTGATTAAACTCACATGGGCCTTCTAGGCTGTAAAAACTGTCTCTTTCCGTTGCTACAGCAGACATCCAACCTGCATCGTTGCCTTTGGTTTTGCACCATCAACACCTTCACAGCACATGCATCCATGCAAGGCTTTCATTACTGACTTTGCTGATCTACACACACTGTTGGTTTTGCGTTAACTGTAGTTTGGTAAATTGTGTTGGTTTTAAGTATAACCTTGCGTTGACTCCCGCCTTGTCACAGCCAGTTTGTGACAAATGGGGGCTCGTCTGGGATGTAAAAACGTCTGGTAAGGTTAAATCTAGCCTTAGTGTGACAAAGGAGGTGAAATTGAGTTTTAGCACTAAAGACCAGGAGTAAAGATTAAAGTGCCTTTGGTATTAAGCATTGTGATTAAGGGTAACACGCAAAGATTTTTCTTCTCTTGTTTGTTTGGTTACTGTTGTGGAGTTCATTTTGGTGGATGTTTTAAGGGAGCAGCATTTGTACTGGTGTATGTTATTGGTGAGAGCGGTCACATCTTAGTTGGTAGGGGCCATGCATCTCCTTTTTAGCCTAAAGTGGTTGATCTCAAAAGGACACCAAGCAGTTTTTTGTTTTCAGTTAAAATAACCAAGAGTTTGGGTGAAGACAATGTCAACTGGTTTCTAGAGGGTTGCCTGCTGGTTCTGGTGGAATTCGTGCAGATGTACCCACCACCAGTATCTGTCTGAAGACTAGGGTTGAGTCTACTTGGGTAGTAAGTGTGACTAGTTAGATAGGGCTGGCAAGGTTGGTCTCTGTGGTATCTTTGATTTCCTCATTGCACGTATTCAAGTACCTGAATTTGTGTTTTTGTCTTGTGGATTCGTAACCGTAAATATAAATGCTAGTATTGAAAAAAATAATTTGGTCGTGTGAATTAACTTTTAGCGTGTCATGCCTCAAGATGCTTAGGTTTATGGTAGTTTGGTTTGTTAGTGAGAATGGCGTTACCTCAACTGTTGTGTCTGCAACTTGGTCAAGCAGCTTTGGTAGTAAGTGCTACAGCTCATGTTTTGTTCGACTTTTTTGAAGTAGCTTGGTTTCCTCTTTGTGTTGTGCATCTTGGGATGACTTGGTTGGCTCGTGAGCCTTTGCTTCGAGTAACCTTTGGGTATGTTACTTTGGTTTTTTGATGCTTATGGTAATTCCAGTTTTGTGTGCATTTGGTAGCTGGAATTTTTGATATACAAATACTTCTGATGAACTTTGGTGCTCATTTTAATGCCTCACGCAATGTATTGAAAGTATGAAATGGTGTTTAATTGCAGCTCATAATAGCTTCCCGTTAACCAAGGTTATCAGTAATTGGCTGATACTGATGTGTCTATTTTTTTGTTCTTGTCCAGATTTATCCACTCTTAAAACATCTTAAGCACAATTGTTTTTGATGTGGAATAAAATGCTTTCTTAGTGTGAACAAAGGGCCATGTCAAAGTAGCTGAAGGTGGTAGGGGCTTTCTGTTTGCTATATTTAATCAACTGTCAACTAAAATATTACAGTCTCCGTTGGGTGTAATATTTATACAAGGATCAGTTCCTACCGCTGATCTTACACTTTTAAAATGTGTTTTATTGTCCATGCAAATGCATTTGTGGCCAATAACATCGCAAATCATACAATCTGAACACAGGAAATCACTCATTATACAGATTTTGTTTTGCTGTGTCTAACCTTTACAAACATGTATATTTTTTTCTCCCTTAAAATGCATCGCATGTCTTGCAAATGTTTAAAAGTACTCACTCTTTCTCCAGGTGTATGCCTAATCACTGTGAGCACGGTGGCCGGTGTAAACAGACGTGGGAGAGTTTCAGCTGTACCTGTGATGGAACAGGATACGCTGGAGCCACCTGCCACACATGTAAGTGCGTGAGGGTGTATGTGTGTGTGTGTGTGTGTGTGTATGTGTGTGTGCGCAGTTGTGTGTTATTCGCTATCTGCCCCCTCCGCCTCTCTTAACTCGAGAACCACTGCGTTGTGTTCCTTGTGTGCTTGTTTGATTCGGACTCCCTCTGTTGCCTTTGAGTGATTTAAGCTGTTTCTTCTTCCAAAGCCACAATCCTCAGCAGTGGGACAGATGAACTTTTGAAGTGTTCAGGGGCCAAGCTTTTCTGACTGCTTTGTGCGTTTTGTTCTGGTCTGACCCGACCAAAAGCACGAGCACACAAATAGAACAGAGTCTCAAAAGATTTTTAAAAAAAGCCAATGTTTTTTTTTTTACAGGCTTATAAATTGGAGAATGCCATCCTTCCTCCCATGTGCTACAGACATTGTTCTCTTTTAAGAGAGGATGAGAATGGAACGTTTTGTCAATATTGTGTATGTCCAACATAAAACAACAGATTTAATATACATGAAGTGTGAGAAAATTTGAAGAGTGGAGTGAGTGAAAAGGACATTGTTCAGAATATAGCATTGGAGGACAGTTTGAATTCATCAGAATGGAAATAAAGCATAGACACTAATAACAAAAAAATCACACAACATACATTAAGATGTTTTTGTGTGACGACATTTTTATCCGTCTGTGTTTTTCAACATCTATGAAGGACTAATTCACTAATTAGAGATAGCTGAAGGCACATTAGTGACATAATGATGGGATGAATCGGGGGACCGACAGGGTGAATAATGCATTCTGTTTAAAGTATTTTGTGCAAGTCTCCAAACTTTACTTTAAGTGCTAATAATAAATGAGTACTTTGTTATCAATTAGTGGATTGACCGAAGTGTCAAACATTTGCCAATTCCAAATTCTGAATTGTGAAGCTTTTCTCTGTTATATCATTGTAAGTGTTGGGTCTTGGACTGTTGTTCACTGATATCTTCTCTTTTAGAACCTACATTTGAATTTGGGTTTGTTTCCATTTCTTTAATGACTGTAATTCAGTTCTGGTGAAGGTTAAAGTGAAGCATAAGTGTTACATCATTCTAATCACATTCCCTCTACAGCAATGTATCGTGACTTTCTCTGTTGGCCTTTGAACCTTTTTATTGTTTTCGCACTGCTGTGAAGAAATCCTGGGCGAAGTGCTAGTAATTCAGCTTCCATTGTGTTGCAGCCTTTGACCAATGGCTTTGAAATATAAGTAGTGCCTCACAGTTCTGTTCAGATCCATGTGAGATGGTTCAACAGGTTTTTGTTGAAGAGGATATACTCTCTGCAAGAAACAGCATCACTAAACTCCTTGAGCAGAGGGATAAAGTAGATAATGAAGTAGTTAGAAGACGTAATGAAAGAAAAAAGGATGTCAGCGGGGACAGAAAGAAGAGACATGCAAAAACAGAAACCGTTATAATGAGCTTAGACTAAAAGGCAGAGATGTTATTTTTGTTAAAGTCATTGTTAAACCTGTGAATGGTGTCTCCTCAATCAAGGAAGTTTCACTCCAAGTCGCACACTAAGTCCAATGAATTTGAATATGTGCTATTTTAGATCCATCCCAAGATTCTACAGTTTTATCAATCTTTGGTCCATTACAGGCAGAAACATATTATAGTGTGTATATGGAGTATATGTATCCTCTTTTTGTATTGTTATTGTGGGCAACATACACTTGCAGTATAATATCATGTATTACACCGTGATTCCTAACCCTACTCAAGCTATCAATAGCTTTGAGTGGCTTACTGTAATGACCTCTTCTCCAGCGTCAACCACAGGAGAGAAGATGAAAATTACTGCCATGCAAATCTCTCAGCACTTTTGTGTCAACCCCTCTAATTTCAGATTTAAATGTTGTCACTACCCTCAGGCCAACATTTACATTTTCAACCCCATGTGTTGTAAAGATATTAGAATAGCAAAGTTGTGTCTCTATTTTCCATTATTTTTTCAACAGTGCTGTTTAAAATCATTGTCAAAAATTAAAGATATTTCCAACATGATGTAATATAAGATAAGAAAAATAATGAGACCAAACTCTTTGTAGGTGTCAAAATATTTACACACATGTTTTGTTAATATTTTTTTTTTACTTTTCCTCAGAATCATCAAACATTTCAACCTTAAACAAAAGTTATTTGCCACTCAGTCATGTCCAACATATCATTTTTTTGTCTGGTGTGTATTGTGCTTATGCCCCAGTGGCTATGCATTTTCAGTCTCATTTCTTCTTCTTTCTCCTGCTCATATGTCTCCTTATTTCTTTTTGCTCCTGCCCCACTTTTAGCCATCTATGAGCCATCATGTGAGGCCTATAAGCATCTGGGCAGGTCCTCTGACACCTACTGGATCGACCCCGACGGCAGCGGACCCCTTGGCCCCTTCAAAGTCAATTGCAACATGACAGGTGTGTGTGGGAGAGTCTGTGTGTGTGCTTTCATCTACGGTGCATCTACTGTGTGTGTGTGTGTGTGTGTGTGTGTGTGTGTGTGTGTGTGTGTGT